CCTGAGCATATGCAGAGAGGTTGGTAGGCATATGGCCCTTTTGGAACATCAATATTTGATTCTTGAGCTCTTGATCACTATGATTTTTCTGGTTCAGGCCAGACCCCTTCACCTGTGATTGTCTCCAGCCAATACAGCAGACACTCAGTTTGGAATCAAGGGACCTGGGTTCAAACTTTGTCTCCGAACCTTCCTTCCTGTGTCACTTCATCAAGACACTTAACCTATATGTGCCTCAGTTTCCCTATTTGTAAAAGGAGGGGGTTGGTTTAGATAACCTCTAAGGCTCTATCTCCTATGATCCTATCATTCTGTTCCTTAATTAAAAAAAAAACTTTGTTAGAAATCTGGCCAACACCTTCTATCCTTCTCAAGGAAGGAACCCACAGGAAAGGTTAAAGGTTGTATAAAATGTGCTCTTCTCTTTTTTCCCCATAAATCCTTTTCTCTTGCTTCCTCTGTTTTTGGATTCAGTTTCAGAAAAGAAACCAGGATGTGCCAGTCCCATGCTGATCACTGAATGGTCACCATTTGGAAGAGAGATTAGACTTATTCTCTGTGGCCCTAGAGAGGAGCTCTAGGAGAAATGGGTGGAAGTTATAGGTGCAGATTTTTGTTCAATATGAAGAGAAACATGATTGGAGGTTCTAATGGAAAGCCTACTGATCAAGAGAGTGACATGGTTTCTAATCTTGCCTCTGTAACTTAGTAGCTATGTGATCACCTTCAGGGATCTTAACTTATCTAAACCTCAGTTTCCTCATCTGTAAAAGGAAAAAAAAATGGTAGCTCTCACTTCACAGGCCTGTTAGGAGGATTAGACGAGATCATGTAACGTGCTTTACAAACCTTATATGTCAGCTGTTATTTCTTCATCATCAATTAAAATCATCCAGCTGCCCTAAATCCATCACTGAAAGCCTTCGGGTGGAGGAAAGAAGACCATTCAACAAGGATGTTGTGGATGAGATCGCTGATTCATGTAGAGTTTGGACCCAGTGACCTCTGAGGTCCCTCCACACTCTACAATTACACATGTCTATAAACCATTTATTAAGCATCTACTTTTTGCCAAACACTGTGGGAGATACAGAGATAATTAAGATATGGTCTTGGATGCTTGGTGTTATACATGTCTGGGGTAGGACAAGTTGTTCTGAAAGCTGACCATGCCTGGGCTTGTTTGCTGTTGCCTTCGTTATCGAGTGACCCTGACTAAGGGCTCTCCATGTCCAGCCCAGATATAAGCCTCAAGAAATGTGCCTTCTTTCCAGTATCAGGATCTCACATTCCTCTTTGGCTTTTTAAAGAGCAGTGGCTTCAGGACCTGGGTCCCCAGAGGCCCTACTCTTCTACATGAGATTGGAAGCATCTTCCTGTCTCGGCCAGGGGGCTTGCCCTGCCCCTCACAGGCCTTTTTCCCTGGCTTTGGGCCAGGGTCAGCTCTGCTCTCAAGTCTTCTTTTAAATAAACTCTCAACTCCATTACTCAGTAAGTCTTCTTCCTGCCAAAGGAACCGACAGCCGTGGCTTCTGTTCTCAGGACAGAATGGAATACTGGCTCCAGGGAGGGAGACAAGAAAATGCCTTCTATTTCCTTATTCATACTGTTCAGATTTGTCTAAACGAGCTCTTTGATCTCAACTGGTTGGGAGAAGTCCAGGCCAGGCCCTGTTCCAGGATCAGAGGAAGTTGGAGAATGGTTTCCCTTGAGGACAAAGTGACTAGCTAGAAACTAGCTTTATTTATTTATTCATTTATGATCTGTGGTTCTCCTTTAGCAGAACATCTTCTTAGACCCTCATCCTTCTACGCTGGCAGCTCCGAGGAGGCATTACTTTGTATTTTGTATTAACCTGTCTTTGTAAAGAGAGGCAGAGGTGGTAGATTTAATTCAGAGCCGCTCCTGAAACCAGGAAGACCTTGGTTGAACTCTCACCTTTGACACATCACTGTGACCCATGGGCAAGTCACATAATCTCTCAGTGGTCTAGGCAACCCTCTAAGATGATAGCTAAGATGCTACACACAGGGAGAGAGGTTCCCCAGCCAGAAGTTTCTTGTACCAAAGAAATCACGGGTTCTGTCCCTATTTCTATCCTGTCTGTACCTATTGTTTACTCCCAGTACGATGAAAACTCCTTGACAGTAAGAATTGTTGGCTTTTTGAGGGTTTTTTGGTCCTTGTGTTCATAGTACGTAGCACAGTACCTTGCACTTATTTAGGTGATTAAGAAATGCATGTATAAGTTAAGAAAAAACTGAAACATACAGAGAAAGAACTATGGAGTATGAATGCAGATCGAAGCATACTATTTGCTATTTTTTTCTTCTGTTGTGTTTTGTTTCCCCTCTCTGGTAGTTCTTCCTATTGGTTCTAATTCTTACTTACAACATCACTAATGTGAAAATATGTTTAATAGGAATATGTATGTATAACCTATATCAGATTGTGTGCCATCTTGGGGGAGGGAGGGGGAGAAAAAATTTAAAACTCAAAAGCTTATGGAAGTGATTGTTGATAATTCAAAATAAATTAATTTAAAGAAAAGCTGATAGACGTGACCAAGGCTTTAGTATAAATGTTTACATACAGATCTCTTTTCCAGCCACCCTGTGTTTTGTATCATGCTTACTTGTGTATGTGTCTTCTTCCTGTCTTCAGATTAAATTGCAGAAGGTAGGAATTAGGTTAAATATAAGAACTTACTTGTGATGGGGAGAGTTATGAAGACGTTGGAATGTTTTACTAGGAGAGTCATGGATTCCTTGTTTCCTGGAGATCTTTAAAAATAAAATTTAGAATTGCAGAAAGTAGAACCAGGAAAATAACACACACAATGACTGGAGTAATATTTAGGACAGCTAGATGGCACAGTGGATAGAATGTTGGACCTGGAGTCAGGAAGACCAGAGTTCAAATGTGGCCTCAGACATTTACTAGCTGTGTAACTTCATTTTATTATATTGTGTTATAAATATTATATTGTAAAGCAAGTCACTTAGCCCTGTTTGCCTCAGTTTCCTCATCTATAAAATGAGCTGGAGAAGGAAATGGCATACCAGTCTGGTATCTTTGCCAAGAAAACCCCAAATGTGATCTCAAAGAATAAGACATGATTGAAACAACAGAATAACAACAAAGAAAAATACAAAGATAACAGAATGCAAGTCAAATGTAATGTTCAGTAATGCTTCCTGATGACTGATTTTGGAAAATAATACTTTCAGTGGATCGTAGGTATGGGATATTGTGTACCTGCAGCTAGGTGGCGCAGTGGATAGAGTTCCCGGCCTAGAGTCAAGAAGACTCCTCTTCATGAGTTCAAATCTGACCTCAGACACTTAGTAACTGTGTGACCCTGCGTAAGTCGCGTAACCTTGTTTGCCTCAGTTTCCTCATCTGTAAAATGAGCTGGAGAAGGAAATGGCAAACCCCTCCAGTATCTTTGCCAAGAAAACCCCAACTGGGGTCACAGAGAGTTAGACACAACTGAAACAACAGTAATAACAAGAAGTACTATCCGGGCATGATTGGTTTTACTTGATTATTTTGGTTTTCTATTATAAAGAAAGATACTATGGGGCAAGGAGTATTGGGAAATGAAGATGGTACAAGATTAAAAATGTTTTTTTTTTTAAAGAAAGTTTAGGAAGAGTGACTGGCCACTGATTGGTGGGTGGATAAAGAATAGACTGCATCACCCCTAAGAATTCTTTCCAAACCATTGATTCCATCTTCTCTGACTGGTGGAGACCGAGACAACTTGAATCCATAAGGGCATTGATGCTTTCTTCCTAGACTCCTGGAGTCAGATCCAGAGCATTTTCTACGTGGATTAGCTTATTTAGTGTTGGTGTTTTTCTGTCTTTTTGCAAAAGGCATTGGTGAAGCTGACCTTTGATACCAAGGATTTCCTGTCTCTTGGGAAAGCAGCTGAATGACTGAGGATTGCAGCCTGGGATGGCCCTAAATGGCTCCAAAATGCTGCTGTAGTCCTGTGTACTTGCCAAGTCCTAGCTAGGAGGGAATTTTTATGGTTGTTACAAGCCCCTGAAATAAGGGTTAGTAATGGAAACACTGACGTGCCCTGAACTCCCAGGGCCCAAGGCTGCTTGGCTCAGGACTGGGGCCCTGGTGTGGGCTGCCTGTGGTCAGGTTTGCCTTTCAGCTGGCCAGAGGTGCTCCTTAGGCCTTGTCCTTATTGCCCTTTTATGGGGGACCAGGCAGTAGATAAGAGGAAAGAACCTTTGGGAGCCAGGTGGGGCCTGTGGCTGAAGGCCTAGGAAGCCTCGTTCCTGCTAGGAGTGTTCCGAAATCACTGTCTCGTTGTGATGATCCCCCCTCTCCATCTTGCACTAGCACAGATCTTTGCCCCAAGAAGACAAGTGGACCTTCTAAGCTGGTAGTTCTTGCCCAGGATATACTGCCAAGCAGGCCTTGGCAGGCCCAGGGTTGAATGATCCTCTGCTCAACAGGCTGAAGATGTATGCCTGCTATGCCAGGCTTTTGGGGGGAGCTTCCCAGGGCAGGCTCGTTGGCATTAATGATATTCTAGTTATTGGCCTCCTTCCCCCACCCCCACCTCAGTGGAATTAAGGTTGCAGTCTAGCAACTGGCCAGTAGTCTTTTGTGGTCACCAGACCCTATCCACCCAATATTCCCCCCTTTGAACCATTTTTGGGGGCAGCTAGGTGATACAGTAGATAGAGCACCGGTTTTGGAATCAAGAGGACCTGAGTTCAAATCCAGCCTCAGATACTTGACACTTACTAGCTGTGTGATCCTGGGCAAGTCACTCAACCCCAGTTGCCTCACCAAAAAAAAAAAAAGGACTTCAATAAATCTTTTTCTATTATGCCAAAATGATGGTAGTGGCCTGTTTTTGAATATATCCGGGAGATATGTAAGTTACAGTGGTAGGCTGGGGCCCTGATACTCCTTTCTTGAACATTGAGAGGAGCCATAAGAGGCTTACCTGTCATCTCTGTTTCCTGCAGATGGTTGGAGATGCTCATCGTCTACCCTAGGACCAATAAACAGAACCAGAAGAAAAAACGGAAGGTAGAGCCTCCGACTCCTCAGGTGAGTAGCCTGCATCTGTTTGGCATGGGGGAGAGTCTGAAGCACAGGTACTGAGGAGAATTTAGATCACGAGCTCTTCATCTTTTTTGTATTATGGACCCCCTTTGGCAATCTGAGAAAGCCTATGTATTCCTCAGAATAATGTACTAGTCCCCTCCTCAGAATAATGGTGTTTGTTTTTTTAATTCATAATTGACGAAAATGCTAAATTTCAGTTAGAGGTAAATAAAAACAAAGATGTAGTTCTGTTGTGTTTTTTTTTTCCTTGTTACTGTTTCCATCCAAGCTTAAGGACCCCTTGAAATCTACTCATGGACCCCAGCTTAAGAATCGCTGGCCTAAATGTTTACTTTTTCATTGGAGAGCCCTGGGGACCCATAAGAGGCTTTGGACACTTCAGTGCTTAGGGGAGCCAGAGGAGTGGTGCTAATTGGGGCTTTTAGTCAGTGTAGGACTGTGTAGCATCTTCTTGCTTGGAGTATGGGGGGAGGGGAGAAAAGCTCCCTAATGCCTTTTAGCTATTACAGTTAATTTCCATCTATCCACTGTGGGATTGACTAAATGGCCTGAATTTTTTCTAAGTAAGAGGAGTTGATGGACAGGACTGTCATTCCTGGAACACTAGATGCAGCCTTCTTTCTGCTCCATACCCTTTGCTGTCCAATTTCACCTAGTCCATTGTGTCTCCCTTCTAGTTTAGCCACAGAGGATTTGGGGAAGGTGATGATGGTATGGATTCTCTTGGGGATAAGGAAGTTTGTAGCTGGGAAACAGGGTAGAATGAAAACTTGGTGTGAATGTGTCTGGTTCTTTACCTCTTTTTGGAGAATGCAATGTAGGGCTAGTTCTCTCTCTCTCTCTCTCTCTCTCTCTCTCTCTCTCTCTCTCTCTCTCTCTCTCTCTCTCTCTCTCTCCCCCCCCCTCTTTCTCTCTCCCCCCCCCCCACCAGCTGCCTCCAAGAATGGGGTGAGGGCTGGGCTCATGGGGTTTGTGATAGTGGCATGTTTGAGGAGAGGGGTAGGTTCCTCAAAAAGCAGCTCTGGAAAGAATTTGGCTAGCCTCCACTTTCTTTGCAGGAGATGAGATTGGAGATAACTGGATGGGACTGGGGGAGGGCTGGGAGAGAGAACTTCACAGAGCTCAGGGCCTCATTGGAGTGTCAGGGGACTAGTACTGTGCCCTCTGGGGACCTGACCCAACTCTGTGCTCTCTGACTATAAATGGTAAAAGCTGCCTGTGACTCACTCTCTCCTTCCCTCCCTCCTCCTAGGGGCTCCCACGTGGCTTGAGGGGGCGGGGGTGGGGTGGGAATCCCACCAGCTCAGATTTCTTCCCCGTGGTTCCAGCCCTTGAGTTCTGGAGGACTAACCAGGCTTTACATCTGTTTCCTCATCTGTAAAATGGGAATAATGATTCCCTTCATCTACCTCACAGGGCTGTTGTAAGGATCAAATAAAATATGTAAAGTGCTTTGCAAAATTTAAAGTGCTATATAAGTGTTAGCAACTGTTATTAGAGCTAGATTTCAAGATGTAGATTCTGGAAGCAGCCCAGAGTACCTGGCAGGGGTGCTTGCTCACATGTGCGCGTGCGCGCTCTCTCTCTCTCTCTCTCTCTCTCTCTCTCCTCTCTCTCTCTCTCTCTCTCTCTCTCCCTCTCTCTCCCTCTCCCCCTCTCCCTCTTTCTCCCTCTGTCTCCCTCCCTTATCTTCCTCCTTCCCTTCACTCTCTCTCGTTTCCTCCCTCCCATCTCTCCCTTTCTCTCCTCTCTCTGTTTCTTTCTCTCTGTTTCTCTCCTCTCTGTTTCTCTTTCCCTCCCTCCCTTCTCTCTCTTTCTCCTCTCTTTCTTTCTGTCTCTCTCTTTCCCTCCCTCCCTTCTCTCTCTCTGCTCAGACATATTCCTAAGACCAATTATTTCTCTTTTCTACTCTGCCTCACATATTCTCTGTGTCTTCCCACTGCCCTTTAAGGGTAGTAGGTCCCCAGAGGAGAATCACTGCCTTTCTTTCCTTCTGACCTTTCTTGGTCCCCCTGCTAAATCTTTCTGCTGACAGAAGCATAGAAACAAGAGACCTGAGCCTGTAGTAGCTGCCTCTGGCCCATTCCACTCATGTGTTCTAATGTGTCCTCTTCCTTTTTCCTTCTCTTCCCCATTTCATATCTTTTTCAGTTGAGAGATGTGTGTGTGTGTGTTTGTGAGTGTGTGCACATATGTGCATGCACACACCTCTCTGCATGGGCCTGGTACTTTACAATTATTATTTCATTTGATCCTCACAACAACTCTGGGAGGTAGGTAGGTATTACGATCCCCATTTTACAGATGAGGAAACTGAGGGACAGGTCAAAGGACTTGCCTGGGATCACACAACTAGCAGGTGTCTGAGGCTGGATTTGAACTCAGGACTTCCTGATACTAGGCCAGGCACTCTAATTACCTCGCCACCCAGCTGCCTGATTCTTTACCTTCTGTAGGGATCAGATTTCCGTATCTCAGTTCTGTATTCTTCACAAACTTTATTCTTTCATGGATTCTACTGATTTTGGCTTTCCCTAGGCTTAAATCTGCCCCTGTGACTCCTGACCTTTCCACTGAAAGATGTGGGTTTCTCTTTTCCTGCTCTGGGCTTGTCTCCAGATACTGCCTCTGTCTCCTACCCTATGTTTTGCTTGCACAACTGTGAACAGTCTAGGGGGAAAGGAAGTGAATCTTTAGAGAATGGAGGAGATGCTACTCCTTAAGGTGGGGTTGTGTAAGACTGGAGACGGAAAAAATTTCATTGCCCTAGGTACTTCCTCAGGCCCCCATCAGGGGCCTGGTCCTGAACTCCCCCTGTGTCACAGGCCAGGGTTATAGAAAAATGAACAGTTGCTTTAACGCTGTGCTGTTTAGGCTAAGTCAGAGGTTCTGGATGCAAACCCTGTTGAAGCTAATTCTATAAGATGGGACTAACTTCTTGGGAGGGATAGAGTAGAGAATGTGAGGTGTTCTTGGAAGAGTCCATTTCCTGCGTGGGGAACAGGTTTCCTTATCTTGTTGGATAGAAACTAAGGCAGTCAGGTTGAGGGATGGGGTCTCTGAACAGTGAACATGCTGATTTGGTACCTTTCCTGTGACTGAGAGTGGGGCTCCATGGAAGTGCAGGCTGGGGAGCAGAAGTTAAGCACATACTCACTACCCCCCCCATGTCCCTCCCTACCCCCGCCATCAAAGCTGCTGAGTTTTGAGAGGAAAAAACCCAGGCAGAGTAACATAGTTTAGGGTTATATTGCATTACTATAGCAACAGCTTGGAAATGGTACAGGAGCTGAGCTCCTGAGCTCCAAATAAGGTAACCACTTGTAGAAAAGACAGATTCAGCCCAGACCAGGGAATGTCTTCCTTCTCCCTACTCCTTTCCCTACTCTTGCACAAGAATGGCCCGATTTGACCTTACAAGTTTGTTGGAGGGCTGGGGCAGATCCAGGGGAACAGTCTAACCCAGTTTACCAAATCCAGTGGCTCCTAGTTACCAGTTTTCCTTTTTCTCCCCTTAGGGCCACAGTGATTTCTGGGGGTCATAGCTGTGGCATGTCCCGGTACCCTCACAATCATGTTGATGGAGCCAATGTCCCTGAATTTTTGCAGGTGCTTGCTTTACAGGTTTCCAAACATAACTAGGAGACTTATCTTTTAAAATTCTCATCATTCCCCTCCCCACCCCACCCCCTAATCTTAAGGACTGTGAAGTGATAAATATTCTGTGGAAGAATGGTCAGAGAGGTAGAGGACTTCGGAGAGCCTGACCCACCGATGGAACCCACTGCCATTCCCCATCCCTCCCGATTCTGTAGGCACCCATTATGCTGGACACGCTAATTGATAACACAACGTCAAAGGCCTAATGTGGAACTGGAAACTAGGGGGCCAGAGCTCAGCATTCCTAATCCAAGTTTCATCAAGCACCAGATAGGGGCCGAGGGTGAGGTGAGGGCTCAGCGGAGATGCCAACAAGGTTCTCTATCTCTCTAGATTCTTGGGAATCCTTGCATAGCTCATGTCTTCGTCTGGCTCCCTTCATAGGGCCAAGCCTGACTCTGGGGCAAATTCAGTATTAAATCACTGGGTCTTGTCTTGTCTGTTGGGTGCTAGAGGAAGGCTAGGGTGGAGGGTGGTGGTAAGGGGGAGGGACTCAGAGAAACTAGACACGGTTCCTGCTCTCAAGGAGTTTACAGTCTGTCTGGGGAAGTAATACAGCAAAAATTAAGTAAAAAGCATTAAATGTTATCATATGCTATAACACGTCAGTGTAGGTATTTGCCAAATGAGTGGTAGAGATATTAAATACTATAGGAACTAAAAGATTAGAGAGGGCAATGTCTGTGGGTTGTGGGTAGTCAGAGAAAACTTCTTGAAATGGGATGGAGAGGGCACAGGGCTTAGTGTAGTTCAGATAAATGCGGGCAGAGGGGGCAGTGGCATGGGCACAGTGGCTTCCAGAGTGATCTGTGGTTGGTGAGGTGGGATATGTCTGGGCATTAAATCCCTGGGAGCTGCTTTCCAAAATCAGCCTTAAAATGGACCTTGACCCCGTGGCCCTCAAACTGTGACTTAGACTTTTATTCCCTAGTCCAAATTCCTTTTGTTGGTTCAGACTCTTCCAGTAACAAGAAGAAAAAACATTCCTTCTTTTTTTCTGTGTTGTCGCTTTGCCCTCACTGTTATGCTTCCTCCTGTCCTCCAGACCCTCCCTGCCAGCTCCTTCCATGGACTGTGGTCGCCCTTACTTCTAATCCCTGATGTTCAGGCACAGAGACCAGGAATGAGGAAACGTTCTAGAGTGAATACTGTCATGATGTTGGTTTGGACTTTTGGGATATTTGGATGACAGGATTTGGACTCTCACCTGGCCATTTCCCACACACCTTTTAATTTTTAATTTGGGAAAGTGACCCAGAAGGAAAACTCTCACCCCTCCCATCCCCTTTACCCTTTGCTCTACCTGGCTTTCTCAGTGTTTT